GTGGCACAAGGAGGGCTCAGCGCTGTCCCCACGGGAGATCAGGACATTCCCACGGGATTTGGGGACAGGATTTGGGGACAGGATTTGGGGACATCGCGAGCCGCAGGGAGGGCTCAGCGCTGTCCCCACGGGAGATCAGGACATTCCCGTGGGATCTGGGGACAGGATTTGGGGACATCACCTCGGAGGGTGGCACAAAGAGGGCTCGGCGCTGTCCCCACGGGAGATCAGGACATTCCCACGGGATTTGGGGACAGGATTTGGGGACAGGATTTGGGGACAGGATTTGGGGACAGGATTTGGGGACATCCCGAGCCGCAGGGAGGGCTCAGCGCTGTCCCCACGGGAGATCAGGACATTCCCACGGGATCTGGGGACAGGATTTGGGGACAGGATCTGGGGACATCCGGAGCCGCAGGGAGGGCTCAGCGCTGTGTCCCCCCGTGTCCCCGCGGCAGGGCGGTGGCAGTGCCAGCGCAGCAGCCCGGGGGTGGCCTTGGGGACATGCGACAGCAGCTGGCGGACCGCGAGCAGGCGCTGCAGCTGGCGCGGGACACGATCCAGGTGAGCCCATCCCAAATCCCGGATCCGCGGCGACATCCCGGGGGACACGCGCGACACTGTGGCACTGTCCTGTCCCCCCTTCCCGCCTTGTCCCGGGTTTGTTCCGTCCCCCTCTCCCGGCTTTTCCCGGCTCCTCCTTCCCTAAAATTTTCTTTATCCTCCTTCCCGGATTTTCCCGGTTTTTCCCTGTTCCCTTCCCCTATTTTTCCTGGTTTTTCCCGGTTTTCCCCTGTACTCTTCCTTGTTTTTTTCCGGCTTTTCCCGGTTTTCCCCTGTCTCCTTCCCTGGTTTTTCCCGTTTTTTTCCGGCTTTTCCGGTTTTCCCCTGTCTCCTTTCCCGTTTTTTTTCCAGCTTTTCCCGGTTTTCCCCTGTTCCCTTCCCCTATTTTTCCCGGCTTTTCCCGGTTTTTCCCGGTTTTCCCCTGTCCCCTTCCCTGTTTTTTCCCGTTTTTTTCCGGCTTTTCCCGGCTTTTCCCGGTTTTTCTTGTCTTTTCCCTGTTCTCCACTGTCCCTTTTCCCGGTTTTTCCCAGTTTTTCCCGGTTTTTCCCAGTTTTTTCCCGGCTTTTCCCGGCTTTTCCCTGTTCCCCTTTCAAACTTTTCCGTGTCCCCTATTCCCGGCTTTTCCCTGTCCCCTATTCCCGGCTTTTCCCTGTCCCTTCTTCCCTAAAATTTCCTGTTTTTCCCAGCTTTTCCCGGTTTTTCCCTGCCCCCCCTCCTCCCTCCCCCCCAATCCTGTTTTATCCCAGTCCTTCCTTCCCTAAAATTTTCCTCGTCCTCCTGGGACAAGGGTATGGGGATTTGGGGATTTCGGGGTTTGGGGGCTTGGGGGTTTGGGGATTTTGGAATTTCGGTATCTTAGGATATAGGATTTGGGATTTGGGATTTGGGATTTGGGGTTTTGGGGATTTTGGGGTTTAGGGGTTTTGGGATTTCAGGATTTTGGGGGTTCAGGATTTCGGGATTTTGGGATTTTGATATTTCAGGATTTTGTGGTTTTGGGATTTGGGGATTTTGGGTTTTGCGGATTTTGGAGTTTTGGGATTTCAGGATTTTGGGGTTTTGAGTTCAGGAATTTTGGGATTTGGGGATTTTGGAGTTCTGGGGATTTAGGGGTTTTGGGGTTTTGGGGTTTTGGGATTTTGGGATTTTGAGGTTTTGAGATTTCAGGATTTCAGGGTTTTGGGGCTTGGGGGCTTGGAGATTTTGGAATTTCGGTATTTTAGGATTTGGGATTTGGGGATTTTGGGATTTTGGGGTTTTGAGATTTCAGGATTTCAGGGTTTTGGGGCTTGGGGGTTTGGGGATTTTGGAATTTCAGTATTTTAGGATTTAGGATTTGGGATTTGGGGATTTTAGGTTTTGTGGATTTTGGAGTTTTGGGATTTCAGGATTTTGGGGGTTCGGGATTTGGGGATTTTGGGGTTTTCGGATTTGGGGGATTTAGGGGGTTTAGGATTTGGGATTTTTTCCCCAATCCCGGTCCCGCAGATCCTGCAGGCCAAGGTGGGGCGGCTGGAGCAGCTCCTGCTCCTCAAGAACCTCCGCATCGACGACCTGAGCCGGCGGCTGCAGCAGCGGCGGGGCCCCGGCGACAGGGACAGCGAGCCCGAGAGGGGACAGGGACAGGGACACTGACCCGGGACAGGGACA